AAGATCAAATTTCTACAAATAATGAGAGATTTACAGAGAAATGTTCAAAGAAAAAGACTGGTGCAGCCCAAACGGAATCCTAATCCTAATCCCTTTAAGTGAATTACCAATAAGATGACCATAAATGGATGGTGTGGATTAAAATGAATAAACTCTTGCATTTTCTTTGGCTTCTGCATTTGGACTTGCATTTTGAGTGGGGTCTACCTCAATCTGGGACCCTTCTCTTATAGGAGTTTTTATATACAACCGTTGAGGATAGACATGATTGGAATTTGGCGGCTAGAGGAAGAAATTATTTCAAACAGTGAAAATGGATTCTGCTGGATTCTCTGTTAAAGAATGATACAGACTCTACGGATTCCTTTACTTTGATTTGCTGTTCTTTTCCCATCTTCTACTTTTGGAGAAGTCCTAAGTTTTGTATATTTCATTTTATTCTGCTCAAATTTGATTATTTTTGTCAAACTAAAACTAATTTTAAGGTAATTAGTACATTATGTCTCCATCTTTTACTATTTTTCTAATCTTTAACTTCTATTTTTTGATATTTTTATCATTAATTACACATTTAATTGTAAAAAAATTATTTTCATCTAATTTCTCAATTAAAAAACGGTTAAATGACGAATATACCCTCATTTTAAATAAAACAAAAATAATAAGATAATTGCACCTATAATTGATTTTTTTTTTTAAAAAACGAAAATGAATTCCAAAAAAATTATCAAAAGATTCTTTAAAAAAATTTCATCTTTCTTTCTTTTTCAGTTTTCTCCTTGTTTAAATTGTATAACTTCATATAGCATTTAATATCTGGATTTGAACATTCAGCACTATGTTTCGGCCCTTTTCGTTTGCATTTTTTTCAAAAAATTTGGGATTATGATTATAATTAGTTCTTTACTGCTCTTTTCTTTTCATTTAGTTTTATTTAAATACCGGGGCATATTCGTAATTTCACAACTTTTTATTGAGAAAAAATTGGATAAAAATGGATTGGAATGATGTTGTGTAATTAAGGTTGAAAATGCTAAAAAAATGGAAGGTACCAACGTTTTCGTAATAATGGTGAAAGATATAGACATTATGTGCTAATTACTCATAATTTCAAGAAGCAAAATATTATGTAATTTTTTTCCAAAGATATTTAGAGCTTGTTTGGTTTAAATTTTAAGCAAATTAAAATCAACTTTTTGACCGTTATTTCACTATTTCAATCGTCATTTTTGAATTTTTCTCTCACAGGTAGGACCAACTTTATCTCTAAAGATCAAAAAATTAATTATCAAAATCTCTACTAAACAAGTACTTAGCTCTGTTAGGTAGCAATTAAAATTCAGATTTTAATTTAAATCAAAGTTAACGATCAATTTTAACCAAAATTTTTTTGGATCTTACAACTTTTAAATTACATATTTCATCGATTTTTATTAAAATCTATTTAAAATCTAATTTTAATCCCCATCAAACATGAGGTTAAACATATTAAGATTTCTTGTATTTTACGTTTATTAAAACATTTACTTATTTTAAAAATAAAATATGTCTTCGCTGAAAATAAGTAATTTAATTATTTGTACCTCTCATCAATATAATAATTATTTAGTTCTAAAAAATAAAAATATTTACTAATACGTAAAGTTACTTTTAAACTTAGTCAAACATGCTCCAATTAATCATAAATACGATGCTTGATACTACATGCTTACGATGATAAATTCTTTCTCATTCTTTATTTCAATAGTCACAATAATACATGGATGATATTTGAGGATCCATCATGAATGAATCATTAACAACATACATACTTGCCGTGCTTATACTACTTTCATAAATTAGTCATAGGTCTGTTCATGAGTGAACAATAAAATAAAAAAATAACATGTAAAGTAACATATTGTTTCTTATTGCGTAAGTAACGTAGACATAAATACTTTCATAAATACGTGAGGTTACATAATTATTTTTAAGTTAGTGCCAACACTCGGGGAAGTAGTGTCGACACATTGGACTCTTAGAAATTATTTATCTTATTTCAATTGATGTTTGAACCACAGCGGTCCAAACTTTGAAAATCACAATTTTAATGTTGACAATTGCCTTCTCGAGTGTCGACACTTGCATACTAGTTGATTTGTTTATGCTAAACAATCACTTGATTCAACATAAAGGCTTCCAAAAACAAAAGTTGTATAAGAAATGCACTTTCATTACATAGCTAAACTACTTATTTAAGCCTAAAGATGGGGATTTTACAATATGTGACACGAAACTACTAGCGAAACCTTCGTCTCCTTAATTTATCGACTGAAAGATGGAAAACTAAACAATGTCTCGTAACTTTTACTACTACTTTTATTCAATATCTTGTAATTTTTATTACTACTTTTATTATTGAAATCCACTCCATTGCTGAAAAAGTGGCAAGTGTATAGAAACTCAAAAAGTAGTGGTATTATAGTGATCCACATGTTAGTAAAGAACTAACTTTTACTACTACTTTTATTATAGAAATCCACTTCATTGCCAAAAAAGTGGCAAGTGTATAGAAACTCAAAAAGTAGTGGTATTATAGTGATCCACATGTTAGTAAGTTCTTATTTAGCTATAGAGCCCATGATATCAAACAGGGGCGAATCCAGAACTTCGATTTAACTAGGGCGGCCATTGATCGTTGGTCGTTGACTGTCAATAGTCAATGGTCGTATAACGATATCGTTTATTAATATTAAATAAAATAATATTAAAAATTCTTCGATCTATATGTAACTACACTATAACGTAAAAATCATATATTTATATCATATTATATTTCAATACAATCCGAAATAATATAAATGACATAATACATAAAATTTCTTTGTGTTATCAGTGCTTAACAAATCGTTTGCTTGACTATAAGTAGTTGAGAGATTAAATACACCACTAGAAGAACTATATTGAAATTCAGTTGAAAAAATCATTCTATAATCAGTATGAGAATTGAACGTTAATCAAATATTAAATGTAATTAAAATTAATTTTAAAATATAATTAAAGTTTCAATTTCCAATTCTCAACACCAATTCATCACAAATTATAAATTCCTCAATTTCTCATTTTCAATTTTCATAAATCACACATTCACATTTCACGACACTCAAATTAATTTTTAATATCACAATTCATAGTAGACAAATTCTCAAATAACATATAAATTAAAACTCAATACTCATAAGTCATATCTTATAAATTATTAAAGCATAAAATATTTGAAACGACAAAAACCAACAAAAAAAAAAAATAGTCATCGACTCACCTATAATCTTAACATATATTATTTTGTTTAAATTCAAAATTCAACCATTGCCATGATGGTTAAGGTTCCAATCATCCAGATTAGAAGTTATAGTTTCGAATCCTTTTCTTAGGAAATTAATTTTTGTAAATATTGTAGAAATAAAATTTTTGCACAATGAAATGGACGGGAAGGAATCGAACCCAAGACTTGTAATATAAAAATGGAAGTTATAACCAACTAAGCAAAAGAGAGGTTTGAAAATACAATGAACTACAAGTTATATAATCTAAATTTTTTATCTATTATAAAAAAGACACAAATAAAAATTCAGTGAGTGAGATATGCATGTTCACGTGTGAGCCT